ACATAACCCCACTGCATGAAGATAAACAACCCAACTAAAAATGGACAAAGGACCTGAATAGACACTGCTCCAAGGAGGGCATGCAGAGGGCCCAGAGACATATGAAAGGATGCTCAGCATCACTAGCCATTTAATTTGCATCACTAGAGAGGTGCAAATTAAAACCAAAATGAGATAACACTTCACACTGGTCAGAATAGCCATGATAACCAAATCAAGAAACAACAAGTGCCAGCGAGGTTGTGGAGAAAAGGGAACCCTAGTGCACTGTTGGTGGGAATGCAGACTGGTACAGCCACTGTGGAAAACAGTATGGAACTTCCTCAGAAAACTAAAAATAGATCTGCCTTTTGATCCAGCAATTCCACTACTGGGACTATATCCTAAGACTCCTAAAAGACCAACCCAAAAGAACCTATGCACCCCTATGTTCATAGCAGCACCATTTATAATAGGCAAGTGCTGTAAGCAACCTAAGTGCCCATCAGTTAATGAGCAGATCAAAAAACTATGGTGCATTTACATGATGGAATACTATACAGCAGAAAGAAAGATGGAGCACCTACCCTTCATGAGAGCATGGATGGATCTGGAGAGCATTATACTAAGTGAAATGAGCCAGGTGGTAAAAGACAAATACCATATGATCTCAGCTATAAGTGGAACCTAATCAACAAAACAAGTGAGCAAAATAGAACTGGAGACATGGAAATAAAGAACAAACTGACAGCAACCAAAGTGGGGGGAGTAATGGTGGAAAGAAGGGGAAGGGTCATCAAGGAATGTGTATAAAGAATCCATGGACAAGGACAGTGGGGTGTGGGGGGAGGACTGAATGTGGGAGGTGGGGTGGGTAGGGCAGGGGAGAGGAATGGGGACAACTGTGATTGAACAACAATAAAAAATATGAGAGAACAAAAAGGCCTCAAAGTAATAAATTCCTTAGATAAGGACTTAGATGAGGGCCAATCTGACTGATATCAAGCCTTTATTCCAACTCAATTATTGGAAACTTTACCTAGAAGTGCTTTATACTTCATTGGTGAAATTGGTGAAAGTTTCCCAATAAAAATACAGGAGGATTAAATCAAAGGAGACACTAACAATAGCTGTACTGACAAAAAAGAAGATTCTAAAAGATACAATCTCAGCACTGGGAAGCTCTTTGAAATCAGCTGTCCCCCTCTGTACTCCAGCACAGTCTTCCTCCACCACATCCCACGATGTGATCACCTCAACTTGTACACTCTCAGCAATGCAGAACTCACTGTCCTGTGAAGAGGCCCAGCCTATTTTTACACAAATGTCATTGTTACTATCATTATAGTGCTCATTAAATGGAGCAGAAATCACTCACTCTGTAGTTTCTCTCCAATGATCCAGCTACCTCTTTCTATAGCTCTAAATCTCCAGTCCCTCTTACACTTGAAAGCAATTCAAATGACAGAAACTTGGAATAATAAAGGTGCAAATTACCAGGCTAGAGGCTGGACTGGTTAGAATAATGGTATAGGGTAGGGGAGTAGGAGGGATTTAGGTGGTTCCAAATGAAGTAGAGAATTTAAGGAAAAAGCAAGAAGACAATTGTGGCTAGAACAAAGTGAGTAAGACATAATGGCAACGAGATAAAGTGAGCGAGCAGAACACACAAGGTCTGGTAGGGCATTGTGAGACAGGGTTTTATACAGAGTGTGATGGGTAGCCACTGAAGGGTTCTGAACAGGGGAATGACAGGAACTGTTTAACATTCAAAATATTTTAAAAAGCACTTTTGCTTTTACATGGAAAACTGACTGAAGAGGTACAAGGGTATAAGGAGGAGATGAGGAAGGCCAGTTATTATTAGCATCTAGGAACTTATGATGGTGATTGTAAGTTATATTCAAGTTTGGGGTTGGGGTGGCAGCAGTTAAGAGGAGTTTGGGGTGTATATTAAAAGGAGGACGTATGAGCCTTACTGATGGGCTGGATGTGGGTTAGCAAAAAAAGAGGAAAGTCAATGATGACTTCTGGTTTTTGGCCTGAGTGACTGGGTGGCCCATTTATGGAGATGAAGAGGGAAACAGATGGGTTTTGGGAAGAGAGTTCAAGAGAGTTCTATTGCAAACATGTTAACTTTTTAATGTTTATTAGACTTCAAACAGAGATATTGACTAGGCAGACATACATCTGAGCCTTGAATATGTGGGAGAAACCAAGGCAAAGAAATAAATTTGGGAGACTAGGTGGCATTTAAACAAGGAACCACATGAGATCACATAGAGATTAAGTGTGGAAGGTGGCCAAGGACTGGGCCCTGAAGAATTCCAATTTTTGGAGACTATGAAGAAGAGATGGCGAGGGAGATTTTGAAATTTTATGTGTATTTTATGCTTTCTAGTATAGGAAGAACTAGAGATTTAGAGCTACAGAAAGACACATTGAGATGCTGACACATTGAGAAAAGTTACAGATTTCTGCTCAGTGTAAGAAGCACTGAAATGAATGAGCTGGTAACTTACTCTTCCTCGAAAAGCATTTGGAATTATTTTATATCTACAAACTACGAAGTCTACAGTAAGTCATCATAACCTTCTTCAAAAACCACCTTTCAAAGTCATGTGCCCTATTCTATTCTGACTGCTGCCCACTGACCGCGTCTGGACAGCTGCATTCCCCGTGTCAGCTGCTCAATTATTCCACCCCTACCTCTGGCATGTGTCCTAGCTTCTGCATCCAAGTTCTCACCCCAACTAACAACTTCTGGTTGCCAAACTCTGACCAGGAGGCACATGGAGATCATATTCCCCAGAGCTGCCAGAAGTTCTTGGCATAGGATCAATGAAGCATACAATAAATGAGTGACTGCAATTAATCAGGTGACAGAGAACAACTGACATGATCGGGAACTGCAGAATGAGCCAGATCCAGACTGGAACAGAGATCAGGAGAGTGTACTCCAGACTAGTTCCCCCAGGGGAAAATCTGCTCTAGGTTCCCCAGTGTTATCAGACATACTTTTTTACCGAGAAGAGTTGAAGCAATTTGAACTTTAACCACATGTCCACGGATTCAGGACTTCCTGGAAGCTGGTGACACTGAACCAAACTGGAGGAGGTGCCACCGCGGGCACTTGTTCTTGCTGCCCCATACCCTCAGGATTAGCCTGGGGACATCTGTTACTCTCCGCCTCAACTATAAAGGGAATTCTAAACTATTTCCTAGGTGCTTGTCAAGATTAAGTAAGATTATTGTAAATAAAGTGCCTGGTAGATAGGGAGCGCTGATCACGTATCGGCTGTTCTCATCTATACTTCAGATGACCACAGAAGGACGGCCGGTCGGCTAAATGGTAAAGCACGTCTCTAACAGCAACACTGTTAATGCTCTGCTAGCAAAGAATAATAATAATAAGGGGTTTTTTTGTTTGTTTTTTTAATCTGGTATATAATCAATAAAACTTAAACTTCTGTCCGGAAAAACCTGTCCTCCATTCTTCTCCACTTCTCCACCAAGGTTGGCCCGGTTATATCACACAACTGAGAAGTAAAGATGAGATTAATAACACCAATTCTGAATAAATATCAAGCCAAACAGAACTTTCTAAGCCTAACAATTATTCTGCAAGAGTTATTCAGGCTTGGGTCGCTTGTTTTAAACATCTATATTTTTTAAGTATAATATATTTCTATTTCCTTTTATGAAATTTAAGTTTAACTAAAATCATTAAGTTGGCAACAGAAGCAGGAAACCATTTATAAGGCCAGCATGGCTATTTTACTTTTATTAATGAAAAGTTATGTAATAGTTTCAGCAAACTAGAGTTCCCTTCTTACAGTCTTTTAATATTTATAGAAATTTAAAAGAGTTATACTGCTAGAGTTCATTTTGGAAATTGAGAATTTCTATTATCTGACAGCAATCAATTATTTTAGCTCAATTACAGAAATGGCTATTTAAGAGTTATGTTCATCTTTATTCATACCCTTTAACAACAGGTGATCTGTATCTAGTACTTAACCTAAAAGCTTAAGTAAGTGTGACTGAAGAAAATACTAGGAGGGTCTCAACTCCAAACCACTAAGTCACATTACTAATCTTTTTGCCTCTAACAGTACATTTGAAAAAGAAAAGAAAGAAAGCAGTGTTCTGGGAACATTTAAAGGGCCTCCTTATGTTAACAGATAGTGCTGGACTGAACTACCAGAGAACACACAGAGCAGCTTAAAGGTCTCAGAGCAAAGCTGTGGCTGAGTACAAGGAGATGTTTGCAGACGCCACGCCAACGTCCACAAACGGAGACCCCACAGCACCTATGAGCTGGAGAACGAAACCTATAGTCACACATTTCCCTACATCTCCATTCCATGAAGCCTAGATTCTCAAAACATCATTATTTTGATTTTTCAAACCACTACATGAAAAGTCACTTGTAAACTATAATTTCAAATCAATAAACCTCTATTATTTATTTTCTGCCTTAAATAAACTTTTATTTTTGGAATAATTTTAGATTTACGGAAACGTTTCAAAGCAACTACAGAGCATCTATACACCCTTCACTCAGGTTCATCTATAACTAACACCTTACAGAACCACGGTTCTGTCAAAACTAAGAAACTAGCATTAGTATATGATTGTTAACTAAACTACAGACTTTATTTGGATTTAACATGTTGTCTTTGTTTTCAGTTCTAAGATCTAATCCAGGGTACCACATTGCATTTATGATATTTTTTCTTTTAGCGCTTTAAGTTTTAGAACCTGCTAAACTTGTGTGTCTTATTAACAATGTCCTCATTATTATTATATAAAATATAGCTCCCTGTAAAATATGATTTACTGGATATTAGGGAATGTTATACTATGATGCATATAAATATGACATTTCTCTTATTGAGGAGAAAATAAGGTAAATCACTGAATTAAGTTATGATGCATTGCCTACTTTGTTAGGAACCTGTCAGATGGAATTATTTAATGTTTCAGAAATATCTCTTCAAAAAATGCTTGTCACTTACCTATCTCTCAAGACTCCAGTAAAAAGTTGTAACATATATGGTAAATCCTTTTAATTGGTCCTGTAATAGAATATAAAGTATTATTATAATTATATTCAGATAATTCATTTTTATCAAATTTATATAAAAACTGCTTTCCTTTCATTCCCAAATTTCATGCTCAATTACCATATAATATTTTTATTAAGATACCAAAAGAACTAATTTAAGGGAGAATAATTCCATAAGTGAATCACATGTCTTTAGTTTAAAAATATAGGTATGCAAAATTTAATCAAAGTTTTAAGATAAATAGAAAATGTTCTAGGAAAAAAGGCCACAATGAATAAAAGAGGAATGGTCCACATTTTTCCATGAGCATAATGCTGTGGAAATTACTAAATAGCCATAAACAAGTGAATCATATTGAGGGTACAGCCTTTCTGATGAAAAAATGTCAAAGTTTGGGGTTAGGAGATTTTTGAAAAAATGTGTTTGGTCAAGTGTCCAAGTGTAACAGTTTGCCTGAGATAGTCCCAATTTATGCCCATTGTCCCAACAATTTGTCATTTGTCTTAGATTTTCCACCTTTTAGAGACGCTTTTTTTTTTAACAGTAGCATTATAACAGGCCAGGACTTTCACTTCCAGGCTCTGCCATGACCTCGCGAGCAGGGCAGTGACCCATCTAACTCAGACACCAGTGTGGCGTGGTGACAGCCGGCGGGAAAGCGGGGTCGAGGGGCTGGTGGAGGCGAGCAAAAGGGAGGAAAATGGAAACGGAAAGAGACTCAGCTTGGGGTAAAGGACACATGACGCAGTGCACAGACGATGTTTTCTTGAGTCGTACACTTGAAACCTGTACAATTTTGTGAACCAATGTCACCCTAATAAATCCAACTTAAAAAACTCTGAACATCCATGAGCAGTAACCTATCTCTGGATGGTAACTGACACAGGAAAAGTGTCACTCAGGAGTAGCTAGGGACAGCCAAGTCCTTCATTCTTGGGTAAAGTTAGAAGAAATATTCAGTGCTGCTGCCCCTGCTTCTGACTAGCTGAAGACACCAATTACGAAAACCATATGGAGAGCATGTTTACATATAACTCTATAAAGCATGACTTTTCAATGAGATCAAATGACTGTTCTTTAAATTTATCGTAGTCAGCTCTGATTACAAATTATCTTGTTTAAACAGCCAAAGTTAAATGGCAGCTGTTATTCTGTTGGCTCTATTAGCAGAAGAAATTCACACTTAAATGATGCCAGCTTCCTATCAGTGTCAGGAGATACATCAACTAGAAAATCAGTTAATTCCAATAATGGTTTGATTGTTTTTATACAACTCAGGCAATCAAGGGAAAGCTTTTGGAAGTTCACTCTGTAGAACATGAAACACCTGATGTTGCTGTAACTGCTATTTAAACTCAGTTAAAAAGTTCAACAACAAAGATAAAATTATAGTCAGCTTTCCTTATTCAAAGTAATTAAGCTCTATAAAGCAGAGCCAAACCATTGCACTTAGAAGAAATACAGAGTTATGTTCCTGTGAGCCTTTGGCCACAACATTTTCATCAACTGACCAAACATAACCTTGTTTTATGTGCATTTCTGCTTAAAGACACTTTACTTAATATAAATTGTTGAGTCGAAGACATTGAACTCACGTCAATAGCATTAACTCATGCCTGTATGAAACTTACTTAAAATGCATTTTCTCTGTAAAATACATTACATTTCAGCCTTCTGGCACTTAGGAACAACATACAGCAGCACTTCAGCACTGTGCCTGGGCACTATCTCAAACAAGGAAATCATCGACAAGTGCATTAACATGCAAAAAACGTGGCACCAGGCAGATGGTAGTTTACAGTATCAGAGCTGAAAGAAGGAGGCAGAGAACTGGTATGTTTTACCTAAGCTGGAAACATGTGTTAAGCAATCCAATTCTTTTTTCACTCTGCAAATGTCCATGAATGACTATAAAAGCAGCATGAGTACTAATTTTGGCACTACAAATATATTTTTGTAAGTAGAATTTGCAAAATGGAATCTATGAATAATAAGGATAGATTGTATTCGTTTTTACAATGCTGATACAAATTTTGTTCAAGCACAGCATCATAGTGAAGAGCAATGTTTGTATTAATTAAAACATTATGGAACAAAAAATTAAAACGGACTTGTGATTCACATTCACAACTGTGCCATATGAACTTTAATAATATACTAATCGGTGTAGAAATAAACATATTGCACAACTGCATCAACCAAAGAAGTACCGTTTACCAACTGAAATTTATAAATATTTAAACACACATACACACACACTAGTTTAAAAAACTGAAGTAGAATGTTTTCTGTGGCAAAGATAATGTTGAATAAGAAAAAAACTTCAGGATGGCAGTGATCCTAAAACTCACGTACATAGCCAAGCAAACTTAAAAAAGAAGAACAAAAATGATAGAGTCAGACAACCCAATTTCAATACTTACTATGTAGTTACACACTATGAACTGTCATAAATGTAAACATGTAAAACAATGGAACAGAAATGAAAAATAAACTCTTACTTTTCTGGTCAATTTTGACAACAAAACAGTTTAATGGACAAAAGTACAGTTTTTTCAACAAAAGGTACAGGGACAACATGCAAAAAAATTAGGTTGGACATGTTCTTTATATGAAACACTAAAATTAAATAAAAAACACAGACGTCAGTGTAATTACTACAACTATAAACCTCTTAGAAGAAAACACAGAAGTAAATCTTTAGCATTTGGTAATGGTTTGTTAAATAGATAACAAAAGCACAAGCAACAGAAGAAAAAATAGATAAAATGGGCTACTTCAAAATTAAAATATTTTGTGCTGCAAATGATATTATTTTTAAAAAATCCCTCCAGAATGGGAGTAAATAATTGCAAACCATATATGTGAAAAGGGACTGGTATCGGTAATAAGAACTCTTGAAATTCATTAGTAAAAAGATTTAAAAAACTATTTAATTAAAATTTAAATAATGGGCAAAAATTGAATAAACATTTCTCTAAAGAAGATTATAAGTGGTTAATAAACATGAGAGGATATTCAACATCATAACCATGAAAACCACAAACATTTATAGTCAATCTGATATTCAGTGAGACAGCACTTCCAACCGTTAGGACAGCTATAATAAAAACAAGAGATACCAGTAAGTACTGATGAGGGTGTGGAGAAATTAGGGTGCTCTATATATTGCTTGGGAGGCAAGGGAATGAAAAATGGTAGAGCCACTTACAAAAGCAGTTTGGCAGCTCCTTAAAAGGTTAAAACATAGAGTACCATTTGATCCAGCAATTCTACTACTAAACACACACTGAAGGGAAATGAAAACTTATATCTGCACAAAAATCTGTTCACAGCAGCATTATTCATAATAGTCAATAAGTGAAAAAATCCCAGATGTCCACCCCAGTTGATGAATAAATTTAAAATATTCCACAAGCTACAGAAGCAACCCGGTGCCCACCAACAGAGCTGTGGTACTGATATGCAATGGAATACTACTTCGCCATAAAAATTAAAATCTTACCATTTGCAAAAGCATAGATGGACCTGAAAGGTATTATGCTGACTAAAATAAATCAAGGAAAGACAAATACCGTATAATTTCACTTATACTGGAATCTAAAGAGCAAAACACACAAAATAGAAACAGACTCATAGATACAGAGAACAAGAGACTACTGGTTGCCAGAGGGGAGAGAAGCTGGAGGACTGGGTGGAAAAGGTGAAGGAATTATGAAGCACAAACTGGTAGTTACAGAACAGTCACAGGATGCCAGTTACAGCACAGGGAATACGGTCAATAATACCGTAACTGGCTACGGTGCCAGGGGCTGGAAACATCAGGGGACACTTTGTAAAGGACATGACCATTTAACCACTAAGCTGTATACCTGAAACTAATACAAAATACTGCTGAATGTAAACTAATTGAAAAACTAAATTTTAATTTTAAGAAGGTTAACTTTTACTTTTAAGAAGTAAAAATAAACTAAACAGATGTGGCGGATCCATACAATGGACTAGTATTCAGCAATAAAAAGGACTGAAATACTCATATATACCACATCATGAATGAACCTCAAAAACGCTGTACTAAGTGAAAGAAGTCAGACACAAAAGACCCTGTATTGTATGCCATGATTTACATGAAAACCAGAATAAACAAATCCACAGAGACAAAGTGAACCAATGGTTGACAGGACTGGGGGGACTGGGAGGGATGGGAAATGAGTGTGAATGGGCTTTGGTTTCTTTCTGATGTGATGAAAATGCTCTCAGCCTAGATTATGGTGACAGGTGTGCAATTCTGAGAATCCAGTAAAACCAGTGAATTGTATACTTGAAACAGGATAATTTTATGGCATGAAAACTCTTATCTCAATAAAAATCTTTTTATTTTGATTAAAACCAACTATAGTGTCTAAAAAAAGAAATCTATGTTTATATGTTAAAGGACTTATCTAGCCCTGGCTGGTGTAGCTCAGTGGATTGAGCTTGGGCCTGAGAACCAAACAACTGCAGTTAGATTCCCAGTTGGGGCACATGCCTGGGTTGCAGGCTAGTTTCCAGCAGGGGACACACAAGAGGCAACCATACATTGATGTTTCTCTCCCTCTCTCCTTCCCTTCTCTTCTAAAGATAAATAAATTTTTTAAAAAATTTTAAAAAGATTTATCTAAGAAAAAGAAGATGATCAATAATAGGAACATTAAAATGACAAACACACAACTGTCAACAGTGGAACCTAAAAACAAACAAACAAAGCAAACAACTAGAACAGGAACAGAACCACAGAAATGGAGGAAACATGGAGGGCTATCAGTGGACAGGGGGAGGGAAAGAACAGGGGAAAAGGTACAGGGAACAGAAGCATAATTGGTAGGCACAAAACAGACAGGGGGAGGTTAAGAATAGTATAGGAAACGGAGAAGCCAAAGAACTTATATGAACAACCCATGGACATGAACCAAGGGGGAGGGAATGCTGGTGGGAGGGGGGTGCAGGGCAGAGAGGGATAAAGATGAGAAGAAAAATTGGGCAACTGAAATAGTATAATCAATAAAATATACTTTAAAGAACACTCTGAAAATCAAACAACTTATTAAAAGATTCCTATTTTTATTTCCATATATTTTCTAAATCTGTCCAAGAAAATAAAATAACATCTCAACCACATCTGTGCAATGATATCTCTGATTCGTATCAGAGGGTGGAAAGTCAACACTGCGACCGTACCAGCACCAGAGAAAGCCTGGTTTGAGCACGAATAACAAAAAGTACCAGAACTGCGTGCCTGTCCAAGCAGTCCCCAAATGGTGAAAAGAATTTTTTTGAAATTAAACTGTAAGATAGTTTTTGAAGTCCAAAACATTTTCCTATAGAAACAATGTTGCTATAAGTAATTCCATTATGAGGCAAGTCTATAAAAACTTTATAAAAACCATATGCGAAAGACTACTGTTTGAACTATACCCAGGCAAAATAATACCTCTTCCTTTGGAAAATACATCATTTTCTCCCTCCACCCTCTACCAAACCCCAGAAAAACTCCAGTCCTGGCCTCCCCTCCCCTCGCCAACCTCGCCTCCCCACATTCCGTGGGTCGGCCACACCGCCTTTCTTCCACCTGCAGGGCCTTCTCCCCTCCAAGCCACTGCTGCCATGACCTTCCTGCCCTCTCCTAAGCTACCTCTATTCAGCCTTCTGGTCTCGGCTTAAAAGCTACTTCCTCAGGACAGTTGTCCCTTGTGCCCACATTCAGTCATGCATCCTGCTACACTTTCCTACCTCAGTACTGATGACACTGCACGGCAGTCACTTGGCCTACCTCCCCCAGAATCTCCATCATGTCCATTTTCTTTGCTATTAGTTTAACCCCAGAGCTGAGAAGAGTCCTTGCCATTCTGAAGATGTTTAGTACACATTTGTTTGTATGAGTGAATTTTCATAGGAGAAGGTACTTCAATGCATTTTTAACTGGATCTATGGAATATTTAAGCTGATCTTTGATCATTATCAAGGAATAAAGGTTTCCCCCCAAAATTTCTCCACTCCTGAATTTATATCTCCACAGAGGAGGCTATTTATCCAACTTCTTCTTCACTGGTGGTTTATAAAGTAACTTAAATAGAACATTAAAATTATAGCAAACAGAAATAAGTATATTTTTAAGTGACCTTTATCTTTTTCCTGTAGGTAATGTCACTTATTCTTATGGCTTTCACTGTAATTGATAAAATGCTGGTCCCCAACTTGTAGCCAAGGCCTGGTTTCTTTCGTAAGAGCCAAATTTCCAGCCGTCTACAGTTTTCTACTTGGATGTCTCACAAGGACCTCACTCGCTCCCCAGATCCTCCTCAACCTTTCTTTCCTCCCGAGGTCCCCAGCTCAGGTAATGACGGCACCGTCTAGTCACTGCAGCGTGACACTCAAGTTTCCTCACCCTTGCCTTCTGAAGACTGTTCCGCGGACTCACAGTGGTGTTCTTGTCCTGGAAACCTGTTAGAAACACAGAATCTTTAGCCCCTCCCCAGATCTGCTGAATCAAAATATTTTTTAACAAAATCCCCAGGCAATTCATAGGCACATTAAAATTTGAGAAACAAGAATTTATAATTCCTTTCTCCCCTACCACCACACATCAACTCTGTCAACAACTCTACACAAGAAAATGCCTCAAACATATTTCATCCATGTTCATTATTACTGCTCTGAGTTCAGCTACCACCTCTTTTTTACTTTTTAATTACAGTTTATATTAATATTTTGTATTAGTTTCAGGTATATAACATAGTGGTTGGACATTTGAAGCACCGACCTGAAACTGTACAGTTGTAACAATATCATTGACTGTATCCCTCTTGTCGGGAACATGTCACGAGAGATACTGTGTTGCACAGCTATGGGTTTGGTGAGAGGCCACGCGGCTGGCTGACTGGCACTGCGCATGATAAAAAGTTCACATTATCTGTGTTGCGACCTGATACAAACATTTCCCTTAGTCAGTTGTATTATTTTTTCATTACTTTTAAGTGCTGAATTTTATATATTCAAAACTGTTGGACTGTCTTTGGTGAGTTTATTTTCATTGCTCTAATACTGAGTTATTATTAGGTACAGGGAACAATATTATTCTTTTACAAATCTGGTGAATATTATATTCAATTTTCTACTACTTTTTAAAAATGTAATTTTTAAACTATTTATCTCTTAAAACCAGCTAGACCTGATAAAGACGTGATGTGCATAAACACTCATAGATAGCCAGAAACCTACCTCTTCCAATCCTACTCCCCCTCCCTCTGCTAGGATACAGCTAGGGAAATCCCTTTCATTTAAACTCCTTATTTATTTTAAATCAAACTCCCTTACTTTGGAATGCAGGGAAGAGCAGCTTGAGCTAGTGTCCTGCACACCACGTTAAAGGTGGCCCTGGGACATCCACACCCTCTGTGAAAGAAGTAACAATTAGCATTTTAAGGTCCATGTTAGAGACAGAAGACATTTAAAGGATGAATCAGCAATAAATATCAAGGCTAATTTTAAATGTCGTGGCAACATTCACTGCCATGCTTTCCAAGTCCTCAAAACTGGGCCTGGCATGACCCCCTTTTGATTTCATGTCAGGGGAGCTAATTTTCAAATTAGAAAAGGGGACTCAGTCAAGTGGTTTGCAGCTGAGTATGTCTGACTCCCTCGGAACTGCAGAAACTGGAGGGGAGGGGCACTTTTTAGATGTCACAGTAAGGGAACACACATTGCTACCAGGGAGGAACCAGGGACTGTAAGTGTTCCTCAACGCAGAGAGCAATCTTGTGCAACAAAAACTTGTCCCATCCCACACGCCGATAGCCACCGCACTTCAGCTAAGAGCCTCAAAGCCCAAAATGTCTTGCTTCCAGTATGTAGACAAGGCCAGTCTCCTCTCATTCATTCCATCCACCCTGCCGCAGGTACACGTTCTCAGTGGGAGGGCCAGCTCCGAGGAAGACTGAGGGAGACCTGGCTGTCCTGGATGCCGTGCTCACTCCTCCCATGGAGTCTCTCGTCCCGCAGCCCATTCTGGCCTGCATTTGGTCGAGTAACACCCCACGCTTCTAACCTTTGGCTACTCTCTTCTCACTCGGATCCACCAAAATCTGTTTCCTGTAAGTTCTAAGAAAATGTCTGATAAACAAATCACACTAAAATATGAATGAGGATACAATGCACTCCTCTTCTCGGGGATGTATTTAGGCTTAAGCAAAGATACTACTTCTTACCATCTCTTCTTCTGTTCCCACCCTGACCCAAGCTACTACCACCTTTTCACCTGGATCACCACAGTAGTTTCTTAACTAGTCTCCCTGCTTTAACCTTCTAACTCACAGTCTACTCTCAACAGAGAGCTGACCCGCCTAAAATCCTAACATTTCTTAGCTCAAAATTCCCTAGTTCAATAATAATAAAAGCCAAGAGTCTCCAATGGCCCACAACGTCATAAATGATCTGAAATGAGGAAAGCGGAAGGCAGAGTATATCAGGCAGTAAAAACAAGAGTCTATTTCGGTCATGTTAAACTTGAGATGCTATGAGACATTCAAGTGGAGCTGCCATAAAAGCATTATCCTTAGATCCTCAGAAGGCAGCCTTAGGCTTTATGAATGGTTCTCAACTGGGGCTAATTGTGCCCCCCCAAGAGACATTGTTGTTTGTCACACCTGGCAGAGAGGTGTTCTCCCGGCATCTAGTGGGTAGAGGCCAGAGATGCTGCCGGACATCCTACAACACACAAGGCAGCAACCCCACAACAACGGCAACAGAATCAGTCAGCCCAAAACGCCACTAGCACCGAAGTGGAAAAACCCTGGGCTTGAGACATAAACACGGAAGACTTATCAAAAAGATCATATTTAAAACCCAAAGAACAAAGTGAGGGGAGAACAAAGTGTGTAAATCTTGAGAAACTCCTTTCACAAGTCAGACAAAGGTGGAAGAACCAACACAGAAGACTGAAAGGGGTAAGCCAGAATGGGCAAAGGAAAACCAGGAAAGGGTGGTGCGAGGAAGGCCGAGGGAAGGGTGTTCCTGAACAGCAGCAGTGCTCTGCGGCGGTCAGCAGCATTCAGAGTTGGTAAGACATCCAACAGCAATGGCAGGTGGTAGGAGGTTTGAAAGAATGGAGGAAGTATGCCGTGGGGAGTGAGATAATAGCAGCACAGGGGAAGACTTGGGTAATTTTGAAGCTGCTGAGTCTATCATTAAAGTGAAACCAACAGGCAGGTAGTTGAGTTCATCTAGTCCTAAGGCTTTGCCAGACAGCAGAAATAAAAGAGATACAAAGGAATTGAGGGAATTTGCACGAGAGTAATTTGAATTGGGACAGCTAGGCTACATAAGAAAGGAATTCGTGACAGATAGGAACTAATGAATAAAGAGAAACTGGGGGAGGGGGTTAACGAGCTCAAAGACTTAGTAAGTCATAAACATTTTCCCAAATCAATAAATATACTTCTCTACCGTGTTTTTAATTGCTGTGTAATAAAATAGTCTTTCTTGATATTATTAAGTAAATGTGATTTAATTTAATAAGAAAGAGCTATTTGCTACTTGAACACTGCTCACCCTTCTATACTTACTTTTCATGATCTGGATCAAAGGTATTTGTGGGGAAAAAACAAAAACAAACAAAAAAATGTTATGATAACAGGCCTGGGTTAAAACATCAGCTCTTTTCTTATTAATGGTAGGACCTTGGAAAATTTACCTAACTTTTCTGAACCTAAATCTCTTAATCTAATTAACAGATTGCGGTAGGCAGAATAATGCCCTCCCCAATGAGGATAACTAGGTCCTAATCCCTGAAGTCTGTTAATATGTCACGTTACATATTATGTGGCAAAGGGGAATTATGGCTACAAGTAGAATTAAGGTTGCTAATCAATTGACCTTAAAATAATGACAGTATCCTAGAACGTCGAGGAAGGCCCAAAGTAATCACGAGGGTCCTCTAAGGGAGAAGAGGGGCACAGAAGAACCGGAACCAGAGAAATGGCCTGTGAGAGTCAACCTGCCGGCACTGGGCACTGGCGTCGAGATGGAAGGCAGCTGGCAGGAGCCAAGGACATGTCGGCGGCCTACAGAAGCTGGAAAAGACAAGAAAACTGATCCCCCCTAAGACCTCCAGAAAGGAATGCAGCCCTGCCAACACTCAGTTTGGGTTTCTGACCTCCAGAAGAGTAAGAAAATAAATCTGTTATTTTAAACCATGAAGTTCTTGTTAATTTGTTACAGGATCAACAGAAAACTAACGCACAGGTGAAACAAATCATCTTCATAAACTGTTGTGTAGATTAACCAACATATACAAAGTAGCTAACAGAATGTCTCATTCATAGGAAGCATTTCAATAGCTGCTATTAGTATTATCAGTGTCAATACTATTAACAGCACCAAGACCAACAGACATCAACAGAAAGAACACTGCCACAGTTCTGGAGTTTACTTAATTCTGTGACATAAGATTTCTTAACCTCTGCAGGACTCAGTTCTCTCACTTACAAACGAAATAAGGGTGCCTACTACAGACAACTTCTAAAGTTTCTTCCAGCTCTAACATTTTATGACTCTAAAATCTAATTCCTTAATGACACATTCTACTTATTGCTAATTAACTGATTCAGAAAATCCTATTAAATAAAAATAATAAGCCAAGTAGTTTTCATTTTATGTTTCAACATTTTCAATATTTTATACTGCTGAGTTACAGCCTTATAAAGTTGAGTCATGGCATAAAAACCACAGGCCTGCAAGCAAGGAAAAATAACTAAGTCATCCAGCTACTATTTAAAGGTGTTATAATCAAACTACAATAATAATAGAATCTTTTCAAATAGCTCAAAGTATATTCACACATATTACCTCATTTATTCTTTTTTTAACAGTTTTATTGAGATATAATTCACATATCATAAAATTCACCCTTTTAAAGTGTACAATCCACTGGTGTTAATATATTCAGAGTTCTGCAACTATCACCACAGTCTTAGACCATTTTCATTATCCCCAAAAGAAACTCCCTACCCCCTTAGCAGTCACTCCCCATCACCCCTCTCCTGGCCCACTAATCCTTCTGCCCCAGTGAGTTGGCCTATTCTAGACACGTCATATAGGTAGAATTACACAATACATGGCATTTTTTTTGCCTGGCTTTCAGCAAGCAGTGCTTTAAGATTCAGCCATGTGGCAGCATGTGTCATCCAGCACTCCGTTCCTTTTCATCGCTGCATGATACTCCACTGCATGGATGGGCCCCACTTGCTCATCCATTCATCAGCTGATAACATCTGGGTTGCTCTTCCTTTTCATAGATATTGAAAGGAATAATAATTATTCCATTATTAGGAATAACAATGCTATGAACATTCATGTACAAGTGTTTGTATATCTGTACATTTTTATTTTATTTATATATCTTTTGAATATGTACCTAAAGTGGAACTGCTGGGTAACATATGGGAACTTTATGTTTTAATATTTTATTTATTTTTTATTTTTTTTCAATGTCGACTTTTTTTTTAATAATAAATTTTATTTAGCTACTTTTCAAGTACATTTTTTATCTATTTCTCCCATCCCATCCCCCCCACCATGTCTCCCCCCTCCCTCCAATTTCCCCTCCCCCAGTCCTCATCCCTGTGTCTTTCATACTTATTCCTCAAAATCCCTCCCCTTTTCCCCTTAAATTCCCTTCCCTCTCCCCTCTGGTCGCTGCCCATTTGTTCTCTATTTCAGTGTCTTTGTTTTTATTCTGTTTGCTTGTTTGCTTTATTCTTTAGCTTCCTGTCAAAGGTGAGATCATATGGTATTTGTCCTTCAATGCCTAACCTATTTCACTCAGCATAATGCTTTCCAGTTCCATCCATGTTGTTGCAAAGGGTAGTAGCTCCTTCTTTCTCTCTGCTGCATAGAATTCCATTGTGTATATGTACCACAGTTTTTTGATCCATTCTTTTACTGATGGGCACCTAGGTTGCTTCCAGCTCTTGGCTATTGTAAATTGTGCTGCTATGAACATTGTGGTGCATAGGTTCTTTGATATTGATGTTTTAGGATTCTTGGGGTATAATCCTAGCAGTGGAATTGCTGGGTCAAAAGGCAGGTCGATTTTTATTTTTCTGATAAAATTCCATACTGTTTTCCATAATGGTTGTACCAGTCTGCAATCCCACCAACAGTGAACTAAGGTCCCCTTTTCCCCACAACCTCTCCAACATTTGTTGTTTGTTGCTTTGTTTATGATAGCCATCCTGACTGGTGTAAAGTGGTATCTCATTCTGGTTTTAATTAATCTTTTATTTATTTTTTATTAAATATTTTTATTTATTTATCTTTAGAGGAGAAGGGAAGGAGAGAGGGAGAGAAATATCAATGTATGGTTGCCTCTGTGCACCCCCTACTGGGAACCGGCC